CAACGTTCTAAAGCAGGTGTTTCCAAACCATACACTGAATTCTTGATTTGAAACCAGTAAAACTTCCTCATGGCCTATAGTTTCAGACTGAAGCAAAACTTCACAGCACAGTAAAACCAGAGATTTTTAATGTAGATGTATAAATGCATGCTGCTGCTGCAGCAGCACCTCAGTGTCATACTGTGTTCTATCACCCATTGTTCAACTTTCTAAGTAAAACTTTGACACGCTCTACGTTTTGGAGCGGCACCTGTTATTTAAAGACTTTCTTCTGTTCATAGAGTCAAAATAGATGTGTTTCAGGGGGAGAGGGAGACTCAAAGGAGACCTGCAGTTACTTAACAGCCTAATCTCTGACACTACCCACATGACAAATTAAAGAGTTTAAATGTACTTCTCCTCCAAACAGGGATTTCTCAAGATTAACAAAAAATGAGATGTTGTTTGTGAACAGCAGAGTAAGCTGAAAACTTGCACTGATGCATTAATTCTTGATTTAAGAGTCCAGATCATTAGTTTATGATAGAAGCCAAAGTCTGGGAGAATCCCACCATAACATTTCTGACAGTATGGATGGAGTATAGCAGATGCCTGAATGGAAAGATGCAGGCTTCACTCCCACAGCAAAAAGGTTTAATTAACTGCAACATAGCCCTAGCCCTGTAGTGAAGCAGGAGGAAGAGGTTGGTTCCTGGCTCCATCAAATGGGGAACTGGGGAATAAAGTAACCTGAAAAACAGCAAAAAGGTGTAACAGCTCATAATGCAATCTGCAACTAATAAAAGTCCAACTTATTTTATTAGAATATTTAAGCATGAGAAATCTTAATGAATTTTCAAACAGTCTGAAATGCTAATGGGTCATGCTTTTCCCTGGCTTCTGCCTACTTGCCTTACTTCAGCACCATTTGACTTCAGTGACCCTTTTTTTCTCAAGTATTATGAATTTGCTTCCCTGTGACAAGTTCCCTTCAAATGTATTCTTTCTCTTGTCCATAAACCCAATCAAGAATTAAAACTATAGCATTAACTGCAAACACCTAGGCAAAGTAAATTTAAGGAAAACATAAAGATGTTCCCAGAGGCTTGTTTGTCACAGATTCTCACTGATGCTTGTACTATTTTTGCTCTCAGGTATTTTTGAAGATACATTGCATTTCACAGATGGGGTGACTTTTTCTTATTTATCAATCTTGCATGATGAAACAGTGTGGAAAAAAGACTTTCTCAGGGTTGGTGGATTATTGATGGCTTGATTCTGAAGAAACAGTCCTGATGAGCTACACCTGAAAATAAGGTCTTCTGGGAGACATTCAAATATTTAAAATCAGATCTGAGCAGCTTGCTAAGGAAAAACTGTAGTGCCTGGAATCACCTATTTTAAGATGGCTTTTAAATGCTGACCATGCCAGGCAACACACAATTAATATTAACAGTCCTGAGCATTTTGTTCCCTGATTTCATATGGAATAAGGTGCAATTGTGTTGCTAGTCCCTCTCATAACATTCAAATATGTCAGTCAGCTTCCAGCAAGGCTGACAGAGGAAGAAGACTTCTCAAAGATAATTAAGCTCCCTCAAGCTCCAGCTAAAGTAACAGCAGAAAAGACCTAAGCTAAAACCATTACAAGGGCAAAGCTGGCAGAGTGGTGTACACCCTGCTTGGCAGCAGCTAACCAGCCCATTGCCACAGCTTACTAACCTGACCATGAGCACCTGTGTCACCCTCAGCTCATGCACTCCATGCTGCCCCTCGATTACCAATCATCATTTTGATCCCTTTAGGATTAAACTCTAGGAGGTTTAACTAGGACAGTGTATTCTAAAGAAAGTGTATTCTAAAGAAGATTTAAAGTCTTCCAAAAACCTGCACTTGGCAACTTCTGTGTAGTGTTAAGTCAGACACAGCAGAACCCCATGCAACCCTGTCGTGTATGTGAGATCTGTATCTTAATCTTCATTGTAGACAGTCTCAAATCAGACTGCTACCATATGCAGCATTTGAGCCAATTCCTTCAAGGAATTTTAAGCTGATTTATTATATTTCTAAATCTAAGCATTCATCATTCTGCAAACAGCCTAATAGATGACCTATACCTTAACTTACACATTTTACAACGGTCTTCCTCTAAAACTCTCTGCCAACCACAACTTAAACCTATGAAGTTTACTTTTATGTTTTCTATACATTTGGATTAGAAGACCACATTGTATTTTGTTAATATGTTGGTTTCACAGCTGAGATATCATAAGTTTAGCATGGAGTAATTGCTACCATAGAATTGCATTTCTCATTTGCTGTTTCCTTGAACAGCGTCATCTAACTGGCCATGTTTCTGTCATCACAGAAATGGATGCTATTTTTTTCTAAAACAAAATGTAAATTTCAACAATACAAAGCACACCAATGTTTGTATTTACCACTGCTGTACACAGAAGCTCTAACAAACACCAGAGTTGTAAGGGAACACAATGCTCACAATGGAGAAGCAGTTCACTTTAGACTCTTGAGATACCACATACAACAGTAATTAATTTCCTTTTACCAGGCTTTTGAAAAACCAATGCCTCAGTTTCTAGTACACCTGGCAACCACAGCCCAGGTCAACTTGCAGGTTGAGTGAATCTGAATGTGAACTTTGAAAGGAAAATTCATCATATGCTACAGAATTTAAGTTTTCGTTTATTAGAACAGAAAAAGAGAGGTGAAAAGTAACAACAATAACACTGGAACCTGGAGGCATTCTGACACAGAAGAGTTATGAAAAGCAACAAAGTTTTCTTCACAGTACAATAATTCTTAAGGATGGATCAAAAGGATTATTAACCACTGCAACAAAGTATATTTTATCAATGAATGAGATTACTACTTTACTCCCTATATACGGTAACTCGACAACATAACCTAGATCATTTAGGAAACCCACTATCAACAAAATCCTACTCAAGAAATTAAGTCTGCCCCATCTCTACCAGAACACTTAAAACTGTATTTGGGCAGCTAAAACCCAACGTGTTTTCCCAAGTATTATTTTAGTGGGGTTACCTAATTTCCAAAAAGGGTTTTGTCAAAGGAATGTAAGCAAAGGTTTTTTCAGTGAGGCCCATCTCCAACATCTCTTGCAGCATAAAAGTACAGGAAAGACATAATCAGTTGGTGTCACGGAGCTCTACTATGCTTCATACTCAAGTATTTTAAGATCTTCAAGTAGTTCTTTCGCAAGTGCTTGCAGATCTGCATTGCGGCTCTTTGACAGGGCAAGGATACGCTGAAATGGCAAAGTGTCACGCATCTCCGAGGCTGACTTGGCTAATACTTCTGGCTCCAGAATCACAGACTGAAGGAGCCGCAGAACATGAAGACAAACTTCTGTATCTGGGTCTAAAAGTGGGGGAGGAAAAAATCCAGTACTTATTAGAAAAAAGCCCAAACCTGTAGCAGTGCCATTCTTCATCACCGACCACGCAAACAGGGTGTAACTGCAGCTTTGTAATTCACAGCTGCCATTTTGGAGCTGGCTGGCTGGCTCCAGAAAGAACCCAAAAGCAACATCTTTGCTCTCCTCAGCAGCTTATGCTCAGCAGTGTTTGGGAGGGAGAGCTAACCAGGAATCTTTCTCTTGTTTTTCAAATGTTGAAAATGATATAAATCAGAAATTTATCATCTTGAACTTACCCAGTCGTTAGCCAAGATGTACAGTTAAATGCAACCTGATTTAAGAGCAGAACAAGCCATATCCCATGACTATTCAGACTTATAAAACAAACTGACCAACTAATCAAATTTGCAGTAAATCACCAGGCTTTTCTTTCATTTTGTTTTATTCAAGCCTTCAGATGTCTTCAAAGCTTAATAATATATTAATCTTTATAAGACTTTCTGGTAATGATGTATCAACCTTCCAGGTGTTTAATTCAGTCTACATGAAATTGAAATGGGTACTGAATCTAAGCACTGCTGCTGAGGAATGGGTCAGAGAAATGTAGCAAAGACCGTTGACTAACTGAAGCTAGGAAGACGAGGACCAACTCTCTTGTTAAGAACACAGGATGCATTTTTAATTACTGAAACATTAGGAGCATTATATTGTAATTATTCACAACAGTCCATTTACATTTAGTTGTTTAGAGCTTTATCAAAAGGAGCTCACAGAAAGCCCCCTTTTTGCACTTCTCTATTTTGCTTATTCCAGAGGAAAATTTATCATACTTTTATGGCTGAAGTAGTTATTTGTTCCACATGCCACGCATTTTTAAGTGCTCGTCATTCGCAGATCTAGTCTTCAGCAAGCTTCTGACAAAGCCCTGTGCAGAACTCTTCACAAAAATTAATTCAGATCACTTTGAGCACAAAATCACCACAGAGACCAAAATCTCACTGAAGAAGCATATGTGGAGTGCAGCAATAAACCACACTGCACTGAGTCTGAGAGAAGCCTTTGGTGGGCTGAGGCAAGTTCTTTTTTCTTTCCTGGCTTATTGAATACCTTAACACTGGTCACCTGAAAAAGGACTAAGGAGTATTCTTAATTAAAGCATAAATGAAAAGGTTTAAAGCACCCAGGGGAGAAGGCAGAATGTGATGGACAATGAAGACTATGACTTTTAGCATGAAAATGACTGTAATACCCACCAGTACATGGCTGATACGCAATATTAAATACTGTGATACCTGATCTACACCCACAAGCGAGGCACTACCTCTTTCTCCCTCCATTTTCCATCATATATGAGGTTTGTAGGTCTCTTCTACCCTACCTTCTTCCCTGTTTAAAGTGCAAACCTCTTAAGAAAGGAATTCTGTTTCCTCCTGGGAAACTAACAGAGTGGGCTGTCATGTGAGGACAGACAAATTGTCCAAACGCAAACAATAACATGCATTTTCTGATTTTCTATGCAACAAGAATAGTAGCTATCTGGAATACTGGACAACTTCAGGCATCCAAATCAGCATTTGAAAATAACAATTATTAGTGCCACACACCCTTCAGAAGTGGCCATATGGATAGCACAGCCACTCCTATAGCTGCCACCAGGGCTGAAAGCTCTAGGGAGTCTCTTCCGAATCATCATCTCCAGGTAAAATCTGCTGAGTGATAAGCAGCCATAACTCATGAAGAAATGCTGCAAATCAGCCTCCTAGACAGCAGGACTTTATGTCCAGTTCCTTGGGCAGCAACTCTTCAGTGAATCCTTTAAAGAACACTTGGGTGCAAGTTTTCGTTTTCAGATTTATTCTGACATAATGCAAATATGACTAAAAGCCCTGAATTCATCCTTCCAATCCTTCTATTTTTGTCTTCATGCCTCCTAGATGAGTTTTTTTTGTTGTTGTTTTTTCGGATACAACATTCAAACTATGCATGTACCACCTGCTTCCTTTCTCTGTATTTAGTATCATTCTACATTTATACACTAGAAATAGCAGCAACAAAAAACAGCCAAAATAGGTAAAAAGAAAGAAGCTTTTGGGAGTGAAATCCATGGTTCATTACAACCTTCCTCCGTGCGACATGATTCTTCCAGGAAATAAAGCCATTAATACTTCTAATGGCTTGCAGTACTGCTAGGAAGCTTCATATATGTTAGAAGTTATAAATCCCTGGATGAAAAGTGCTTTATTATTAATATTGTTACAGACATCTATGCTACTATTATCTGCAAGTGTTTGAAGGCAATAGAAAGTAAAGAATTGATCAGACAAGTGTTAGCAGGGAAGCCAGCAAAATTAGGATCTGTAGGAGATCAGGAAATTATTTCCAGCTTCATAAGAACATGTTCCAGTATGAGCAAAGAGGTTCTAGGAAGAATCTCCAGCAGCAGCCAGGAAAGCTCAACGGCTTGAGTAACTCAAATGAAGAACAGATTAGGCACTCGGGCATACAGAGAAGGAAGGAAATGATCCTGCACCAGAAGATGACCTAATATGCATTTAACCTCTGATTGCCATTGTTTTGCATGTATTTTGAGATGCTTTGAGTTGCACAAATACATATGCCTTAAAATACACTCCCTTAGGACTACATGTGGTTTTGAGAATACTAATTATTAAAAATAATTATATTTTTTAATAGGATTTTTTTAAAAATACCCTAGAAGTCTTTCCTTTGTCTCTCCAATATTATCAGGTTTTTTTTCTAAATACCCTGTCTAAAGAATACTCTGAAGAAATTTAAGGAATCTTCATTATTCAGCATTATATTTATTTTAATAGTGTCCAGATTTAGTCATTTCTACACTAGTTGAGTAACATTTTGTTTGTACAAGATCAAAAAAATCCTTTAGCTGTAATCAAATCAGTGTATCATATCCTCCCAACAACTAGCACACACATCTCTTCCACTAAAATTTCAAAACTACAATCGCTATTTCTAGGGAATGAGGGAAGAAATCAAGCTGCTTGCCTCAGTTGGGGATCACAAGTGTAGCGTAAGCGTCGCACTGTCATAAAATGCTGATGCAATTTTAACAAGGTATTGAAACTGTTGGAGTTTGCTGACGTTCTGCCAGCTGCCAGCACTACCCTTTGATGTCACTGGCTTTCCAGTCACTGACAAATGCTACTGATAACGTGGACAGATTTTAGTCACATCTGTCGTTAACACCATGCTCTCAGATGAACTGCTCCCTACAGCAGGGTTTAAGTAATTGCATTTCATCAATGCTAAACTGCTTATCTGCAATTGGCTCTGAGTTGTGTGAACTCAATTTACCCATGCCTAAACCATTCCCTGCCCACCTGAAGGCAAGATTTATTACCAGCAAGCTGTTTACAGCTATGTCTGTGTACAACAGTGGTACTTCAAAAGCTTCCCACCACTGCTGTTAATGTCATTCAACTACTGCCTGATTTCATCTAGCATAAAGGGACGACCTGCCACTCCCCCTTTCCTTTTTATGAACCTGTCAGTCTACCTACATTCACAAGTAGACATACTCATGCCTAATGGAGAAAGCCAGGGCCACAGCTTGTCCCATAGAAGATCTCTTTGCATTGCCAATGCTGGCTGAGCTGAGCCAATATCATCATCATCAGTTTTCCAGACATTTTCATAATTCTGATAGGCTGAGGAGACAAGAAGTGTAGCAATACAAACACCATGTGGAGAAGGAGCAGGGAGAACCCTATGGCAGAAAAAAGACTGAGCTTTGCTGTTGCAGTTCCTACAGATGAGAATGCATTTTCTCTCTGCAACCCAGCCCCAGCTCCTGTGTAACAGCTCAACTTCGTTTAGCCTCCTCCCTGGTGAGCTGACTCCCCATGCTGTCAGACATGGAGTTCAGCTGAACAGAATTCCCCACTCTCCTACAGAGAGATGCTTGTCACACTTTTACCAGGAAAATCCTTGAGAGAGTCTGCCCAGATTAAAGTGGTAATTTGGTCCCAATTTGCCTGACTGTCACTTAGGGGCTATGAGTGAAAAGGAGCTTCCACAGATGCTGCTCTGCAACTGGCAGATTTGTGGGTGAGCTGTTAGATATGCTTTCCAGCTCTCATCAATCCAAGCCTGAGCTTCAGAGGATTCCCACAGTAGCTACTGAATGAGAGGAACAAGAACAGCCCAATGTGTTACACTGACAGATGCATTTACCAGAATTACGGTTTCTTAGATATATTCACAAAAGTAGAAACATTGTGCTCCAAAGGAGAACATCAGTTTACATGAGCCTGCTGTCAGGCAGGGTGAGGGTCTAGTCAAGAAACTCCTGCTGAGATGGCAAGGACAGCCACACTGCACCCAGCCAGAGCTCCATCTGGGCAAGTATCATTTGCAGCAGCTGCTTAGAGGGGAGTATGAAAAAGGGCAAGCATTCAGTAGGACTTCCCCTGGCCACTCTTCCAGCCTATCAGCTAACTGTGGTTCAGGGACTTTCTGCGTCAGAGCTGACATCTCTGCATTTAAGAAAATGGCTGTGGTCTTAAAGGGCAATCCTCTTTTAAAGACTAGTTTCGTAGTCTGAGGAGAATGAAACTGTTGAGCACTGGAAGGACTACAAACTGAGGTTTTGATTCATAAACCAAAATTTGTTTTAATACAGACATCAGTTTATAAATAGGAGGTTCTGTTTGTCCAGATGTCTTTTAAATAACATGCTGCCAAGCAAATAACCTGAATTTTCAAAAACACAGCTATAAACCAATTCTAAAAGAAAAGCAAGGAATTAGAAACCTTCAAGGTTAGTCATTAAAAGCAAATATTGAATGTTGCAGGAAGCATTAGTGAAATGAGAATGTGCATCATACAGGCACCTGTAATAGAGATCATGATTTGCAAAGAATTTGGATAAACAAGGTTAGATTTCCATGTAGAACTGCAGTGGAGGAAACTGAAGGGCAAGATCTAAAATTAGTCATAGTTCTCGTCTTTTGTTAAATGGAGTACCAGGAGCAATTTCCCAATTACAGATGAGAAATGTCACTACCATAGTCCGTCTGAATTCCACACTTCCTCATGTATCCAAGGAGAACAATTTTTTAAACTGCATTCAAAGAAAATTGGGGGAAAAACCCCCCACAATCCATCAAAAACCAACACCAGAAAAGAGCCCAGGCCCATTTTCTCCAACATTCATTTGTTGGTAGATGTTCTGTATGACCAAAAATTAAAAACATAAATCTAGTCTTTAATATTAATACTGAGCTGACTGCCACTTCTTATTCTTCAGAAGATCCTTGGCAGAGAAAAGTCCCAGTCTATCTCTTTGGGAATTACAGAATTAAAAGTCTTACTGCATCTACAGATGTAATGCACCAGAAAAAAATATTGACAAACCTCAGGTGGGTTTCTACCCAAAATTATGTAACTTCTTTCCTATTGGTGAGGACAGGGCTTCTTTAAATTTCAAAGTTATGCAAAATCCTTGGCCAAGACATGCACACAGGGAGACCAGCTGATGGTGAAAACTAACGCTGCCTCCAAGATGGGAACAGCTGCTCTGCAAACAAATGGTGCTCTACAAGAAAAGAACTCTAATGATCCCACAAGCTGCTCCATCAACAGAAACCTGAGTCATCACTCACGTGTTTTATGTTGGCACCAAGCTGGGAAGGTAGAGGAAGGCATGGCCAATACCTTTGCAAGAATATAATAGCACCGTAAGCTATTAGGGTATCTTCAGTGATCAGTGTAGCTCATTAAAGGGTGCTCATCTTTTAGACAGAAAAAGGCTGAAAAAAACCCAGCCCACATCATAAAATGTTAAAACAAGAGAGATCTGCCTTGCTTTCAAAAAGTGTGTCAAACATTTGGTTTTCTCCTATTATCACTACAGCCTCCAGCAGAAAGAGCTATTAAGAATTCTTGTTAGCAAGTGGAAGTCATATGAGTTCATTCAAATTTGCCAAAGACAGTAAGTAGGACAAATGAAACCAGTTTGCTGTTAATATTCTTAATCCACTAGAAATCTTTATTAGATTTTTCTTCCTTTCTCTTCCAATCCATGTACTCAATGTCAAGGCATATATCTGCCTCTTCAAAAAGCCTGCTAGACAACCCTCTTTGCTTCAGATACAACAAAGTGAAATAAAGAAAATCAGGTTTATTATTTTCTCTCTTCACTTAATGGGAAGGATATTCTTCTTTAGGGGACAAAAAAAAACTAACCAGAGATTGATACAGCCTCCAGCAGAAAGAGCTATTAAGAATTCTTGTTAGCAAGTGGAAGTCATATGAGTTCATTCAAATTTGCCAAAGACAGTAAGTAGGACAAATGAAACCAGTTTGCTGTTAATATTCTTAATCCACTAGAAATCTTTATTAGATTTTTCTTCCTTTCTCTTCCAATCCATGTACTCAATGTCAAGGCATATATCTGCCTCTTCAAAAAGCCTGCTAGACAACCCTCTTTGCTTCAGATACAACAAAGTGAAATAAAGAAAATCAGGTTTATTATTTTCTCTCTTCACTTAATGGGAAGGATATTCTTCTTTAGGGGACAAAAAAAACTGAGCAGAGACTGAGAATTCAGAGAAGGAATTGGAGAGATTTATCAGCAGCCTACAAGCCAGTGAAGAAAAATGACCTTGATGTATAAGCTGAGGTCATAGACACTTGTAGATTGACAATGGAAAAGCAAACAGGATGATTCTCTGAAAATAAAAAAAAAGTCAGAGGATAATTTCTGGGGCCTTTCTTAGTGGGAATGATGATAAAGCTTACAGAACTGTGGAAAGCTGAATCATCTCCTAAGCCTTAATAAAAACACTCTTTGAAGAAGCTTCCTGCAGGAAGGCAGCATATACAGGATACCCTGCCAGCAGAATGTAGTGCTCTACTCTGTTGTATGGAAAAAACTATTAAGACTTTATGCTGTAGCAGCTCCAGGTGCTTATAAGCTGAATCATGACTAGCAGAAGCTGAAGATTCTGGCCCCGGAAACAGAAGAGGAACAAGTGTAGGAGAAAGCTACCAAGTTTTGCAAGCTGAAACATTTAAAACCAGATTAAATGTAGAGAAAACTCTAGAGATCTCATGCAAAATTATGGGAACAGGATTGGCTCTTGGATCTGACCTCTCATCTGATACACAAACCAGTCAGCCCGCTCCCTTGACAGTAAACAGACTTTCACCAAAGTCAGAAATCTTAACCAGCAGATGTGGTTTATCTGAGAATCTTCCTCCTTTGCTGTAACTGGAGAACTTGATTATCAAAAAGTGAAGGAATTACCCATGCCTGTCCTTCCTTCTACAATCCAGCCATACAAAATTAACACTTTCAAAATGCAGAGTAGCCTTTCAGTTTCTTATTTCCACTAGCAAATGCAAATTAATTATAACTGTGCCCCATTTCATCCTCTTACATGAACTAGGAGCCTTCTTCAAACAATAGACTACATCAAATGATTAGCTTCTTTGTTTTATCACTACATTTAGAAGAACACTTTTGAGAACTCAGGGGTTTTGAGAGTGGTTTGAGTTTGGGTTTTTTTTCATGTGGGTTTTTTTTCTAAAACAAAAGTTTATGTATATATTAACCAAACATACAGTAAAAGGAAAATCTGGACTAATGTTAAATTTCCAAGCATAGTAGAACAAAGGATCATGCATTCACATTAGTTCTCTGAGAATGCAATTTTTCTCACCTATATTTTTTAAAAAAACAACTATGAAACTGGTGTTTTTCAAGAGTCTCACAAGGATTGCTTTATTTTCTAAAAATCTCAGAAAAAAGAGCCACTGGCATTGCAAAGCAGAAAAATCTTGGTGAGAAGCACAAGTAACTACACTTTCTGTAAAAGTTGAGGGAACTGTGAGCAGTACAAGTAGCTTCCAGTTTACCAGCCCAAATCAAAGCATTTCCAAAACTTCAATATCAAATTAATTCTTTGAAAAAGCAGATGTAACCTCTCTCACTTCAGCTGCTGTCAAGTATTTACTAGCTTTATTTAGCACAGTTTTGCATAGCAGCACAGAGTGCTGGGATGGGTAACCTCCCCAGTCCTGTGATCTGCACACCAAAATCTCTCATAGACAAGCCACAAAAACTGGAGAAAGCAAAGAGAGATCAATTCTATGAGCAGTTCCTAGGCAGGATAGCGTCATGGCTCTGTCCTTACTTCTGTCCCCATTGTCCCTTACAAACTGTGCACACAGCTGCCAGCCAAGTCCAACGCACGCTGGCAACGTCAATCTCTGCTGGCTCCCACGCAGGGATTTGAAGCCTCTGAAAGAGCAGAGCCTTGATGTCACTCATCTACCCAACAGTGGCCACGGAAGTCACTGACGTCCTTGCAGCCCTGCACTGGCCAAAGGCAAAGCTGGGAATAGTGTTCAAGCCCTGCAAGTGCAAATCCTATTAGAGCACAAGGCCTCTCTTCAGCTCTCTTCTTCTAACAGGTGAGTGTAGTTACACAGGTTGGCTTCTATCCCCAAAATGTGCCCCAATAGTTACATTCTGTTAAATGGTAGTGATCTCACATGTAGTTTCCTTTCAGTTTTTATTTGAAAATTAGTAGATGAAGACACAGGTGGCTTTTAAATCCACTTGATTAAATTTCTCCATTCCCTATTTTTAATACTACTTCTTAATACTACTATTACTACTAAATCCATAAACTTTATATTAGTGGAATATAACATACAGTGCCAAAAATGTTGTGGGAAATGCACATCTCCCTCTAGCTATTTGCCCTTTTTGTTTACTTTTAATCTGACAAAATCCATACATAATAATTGCTCCTTGGCAGTGCTGGGTTAATGGCTGGACTTAATCATCTTAAAGCTCTTTTCCAACCAAAATGATTCTGTGATAATCAGGTTACAGACTCAAATTTCTCTTTTGTTATTTTTAACACTTTTTGCCAATCTACAACCCCCAAAGTTACAATTTACAAAGTTTTCAGAGCAACTTACCATTCAATAGCCACCAAAGCAAAGGAATAAAACCTGGACTTTCACTGATGTACTTCAAGCCTTTCAAGTTGATACTCACATTGTAAAGTGACATTAGCATTAGCCTAGAATTGAAGGAAAAAAAAAGATGTGATGTCCTTTGATTTCTTTACATGTTTTGGCATCTTTTGCTATTTATGCCAACCATGTACTGATGCAGAACTCTATAATTTCTACTTTGGTAAAAGTGCCTCAAATTATACATAAACCATGTTGTGCATAACCCTGTTTCTACCATTAAATCACATATTTCAAACACATGGAAAAATATCCCAAGCAAAAGTAAGAGAGTGTCATCAATCTCCATGGGATTAACTATGTGAAATGGGCTAAACCAGGACTTGGCTTTACGTGACCATACAACCTATCCAGTAGAGTTTGTAGTGATGATCCTCACTGGGCAGATGATCACCTCACATAAGCTGCTTGCCCTGACAAATAAAAGGGACACTAGGAAACACAGAAAGCAAGAGTGAATACTGAGTACTAGAAATAATGTCAAAGTCTCTGCTTCATTGGTTGTGCAACACTAGGCTTTCCAAATGCTGACCCTGCAGTCAGCTGAAACAGACACATTGTTAATGCTGTCCTCTTTCAAGCACCCTCCTCTTCCTCATGCAAACAGGTGCAGATGAAATACACAGCCAGCGCACAGCAAATACCAGTGTAGTCTCTCTCTGCTGGCAGGAGAAGTTCCTATGCCTACAGAAGCATTTGGAAGAAGGGGATGGCCTCAAGGAGGGAAAAGTAAAGTATTACTAGATGCAGCTCAGCTTAGCACACACTCTTCTCAGATAGACTCATCCCTTCTGCTGCAGGTGGAAGGCAGAGAACCAGCTTGCTCTGCCTGCTCTCCAGCCCCTTGCAGTCAGGCAGGCCTGTACCATCAAGTGAGATCCCACTGTGAAAAAAGTGACTGCTTGTCTCTTAAAATGTCATCATTGACTTTCCTATTTACCCTACCTTCACAAATACAGATTGATGATGTCCAATGTACAAGTGGAACTACTTTTTTCAAAACAGTAACACTGGAATTCAATTTGGCTGTAAACTGTGCTCTTAAGATATATGAACACCAGGGTAACAAGGGCCAAATGGTCCTCTCGCCTGCACCTCTTCAAAACTATTTCCAAATAAAATTTGGGCCCACTCAAGGCTGTAATTTTTATGAATTTTTCCCCAGAAGGAGATTTGTTTTGGTCTTTTATTATGAGAATTGGCATTGAAGGAGGAGAGAACCCATAACCTGTCTTCCAGGTAACAGAAAAGCTTTATGGTTTGACAAATAGAAAACATTTTCTTAACTGAGCATTAAAAAAAACTAAGACAGCAATTCTGACAAACCAGAAACAAGATCGTGCCTTGCACGTTAACATGTAAATGACAAAATAAAAATACAAAAGACCACAAAAGTGGAAATGTTGTTACATTATCTTCCACATTTCTGATACAGGTTTTTAGGGGCTTGGTGGAGAAAATTATTTTTCAGCTAAATGAAGTCTTAGTGGGCTTAACAAAAACTATTTCCATTTTCCTCTAACTTCCAACAGGAATATGACCTAATACTCAAAAGCAGAAAGCATCCGGAAAAAAAAACAAAACCCGCTGACATTAACAAAATAAATTAATGCTCTGCCTCTTTCAAATAAATCAGATCACTGTAGTACCATGAACTTTGAGCCAAGAGGCCCCTGATGAGCCTGGAAAAAGAGCTGCTCTCTGGAGTCAAAAGTTGTCTTACAAATTATTTCATCCTTCTAGCAATGTTCTCCTGTTCTGCTTTTTATGCAGATCATCTCTACAGATGTGGAATAGCTGAGGGGAGAATGCATTAGTGCACTTTATGATGTGCTATGATGGATGTTACTGCTTTTTTACTTCTTTTCAAAGATGGTAACACACAAGTCAATTTTCTGGACAATGGGAAGATGAATGACCAGAGCTCTCCTAACCTTTATGGAACATGTCATCATACCCACGCACAGCAGGGTGCCAGGTTGCATACAATACAAATACAGAGAAACAGGAATTGGGTAGAACAGTCTGAGGCCATCTTGATGGCTGCTATGTCACAAGACCAAGAAAAACCTGCTCATCACTGCACTGCCACCTCTTCCAAACAGGAGAGAAATAATGCTATTCCAAATGAACTTCACACCTCACATGCAATTCTCAAACGAGTTTTCATGGCTTAAGTTACTATGCCACCATCAGACCTTCAGACAGTCTCCATGCACACCTTCAGAAAGCAGGAACAGGAAATAATACAACTCAGTTCAGCCTGCAATGAGGCACAACTTTTATTATGTGCTGCACCTTTGTGAGTTTGATCACCTAGGCTCTTAGCAGCTGGAAGAAGAAATAGCAGATTATTAAATGCTCTGTATCAGTGGCCAACAATAAGCAGGGAGGGGTGCTGTGGAACTGAATGTGCAGCTTGTAAAGCCCATACACTCCTTATTACACAGGCTCTGCTGCTCTTACTTGGGTTCCAGAATCCAAACCCTGACAAAGGAGGACAGCCAAAATTACCTACAATCAGAACGAAAGTGTGCAAAAAAACAGTATCTTATAATAGAAAGTGTTAGCATTTCTTGACAACGCCACTCATCCTTAATCTGTTTGACATTTGCAGTTAGAAATACAGTGACGTAAAAAGATACTGCTATGTTTGTATTTTTATTTTACTTGTTTGCTTTGTGCAGACAACAGGGACTGGTGGTGGTGATCCAGGGAAGTGCTGTGGTTTTGGAGTGTCAGAAGACGACACAACCCACCTCACAAGCCATTGTAGTAGCATATTATTACTAGTTAAACACACTCCCCTGAGCATAACAGAAGCATTTCCAGGCCTTTTTATATCACCTTTACTGCTAGAATTTGCACATCCCAAACAAGTATTTTTTGTGAAAATTATTGCAGAAGTGCTTATTGAAGCAAACCCAACACATACAATTACTGGATAAACAATATTTTCTGTTTGGTTTCTTGTTTTTTTTTAATTGGAGGGTTTTTTAGTTTGCACTTTGTAGTCTTCCTATCAGGTAAGACAAATTTAATTAATGTATTGTACTACTGTATCTGTCAAAGCTTTCTTTAAAATCTAGAACTAAAAGCACAACTAAAGCGCCTTCTCATCTGCTTAATGCACGAGAACAGTACATAAAATGCACTAAAAAAGTACCTATTTTTACTGGCTACGTTGGATGGCTACATAAACAAAATTAAATACTCCTAACAAGTTAACTAAAGTTATGAACAATTGTGTAAATGCTAACTACTTGCCTAACAATTACAAATGTTGAGCAAATACTACACCAACGAGAAGAAAACCTAGTCTTCCACACTACTGCTATTTCAGAAAGGCAAAGACACCCAAGACATTTCAATCCCAGCACTCCTGTAGATGCCTTGGGTATCCTCTCTTAATCATCTCTGATACTGCTGTGTGTAGAATGAGACTCAAAGTTTCCCCCGATTTGTGACACAATAAATAAAAATATTTTTGAAAATGCAGAAAAGCATTGTAAAACCTCAAAACTGAGCAAAGTACAAACATATTCTTGCAAATAACACACCAAGTGCTTTCTTTCACAGATTTAAGTTGACGAGGTCGTTCCCTGTAGTACCAGGGTGATGTTTTGAGAAAAATACATTACATTTCCAAAATAAAGATATTTTCATCCATGAGGTATAGTCTTAAAAATGTGTCTGTATGTATGTATGTATATGTGTCTAAACAGTATTTAGGATGACTCCAGAGTAATCTATACATAACTTTGAAATTTTCTGTTAACTATCCAATCATCGTTTTTTTTGAAGTGCCTTATGTTCCTTACAGTAGGAAGGAAAGGGACTTCTTGTGACTCATTTTCTTGTGAAAATCATTATTTAGGATAAACAAGCAGCTAAAAAGCCTTACATGCAGAGAACAGTTTAAAAACAAAACAACCAACCCCAAACCCCTTCTTTGGTAGGCTAGGAGAGTGGAAAGTCCCCCAAAAGGTCAGGAAAGAGAGATCTGGTGTTAGTAATGGGTTTTAAGAACTGAACAATGACAAGACATATAGGGAGCTTGTAGATAAAAAAGCAACCTGACCATGGACATGGAAGACAAACACAAGGGAAACATTTTGCACTAAAATAGTTGAGGAAATTAGAATCCCTTGTTCCATGACAAGGCCAGGAAGAAATCTCCTTTCTGGCATTTACTCTTATGTCATAATATAGCTTTTTTTTTAATCAAATGGCAAGTTCAATGTAAGAAAAAATATTGTTTGCTCTGTGGAACATCAGAGAACTCTATCACTGACTGGAATTCAAGCTATTGTAACATATGCTTAATATTTGTCACTTATCAAATACGTTGTGCAACCTCTTTTTTAAGCTTCACTCAATTTGTAAACTTAAAAGGCTGGCCCCTGCTGAATCCCTAGCCACTTCATGGGATTGCTTTAGCTGTATTTTATCAGTGCTGCTATATGGTAGCCAAGTTTATATGATCATGTGTAATTCTTCTGCGAAGCAGGCAGATTTTGAAATGTAATTAAAAAACACTCAGAACATCAATTCAAAAGGAAAGCCCTCAAATCCAATTACTTTGTCCAATTACATTAATACAATCGCAGATTATAAAAATTAATTTATCTGGACCCACAGACACACATTCACTTGAAATTCAAAGTGTGTGTTTGTGTTCATGTTTGTGTGTGTGTTTAGGAACACTCTCCTCTCCTCCCAAACCTAAGTCCTCTCTTGCTACTTCTCTTTTCTGTACAGATTCTGAAGTAGTATAGGCCCTCTTTTTATGTGTTGGGTTTTTTTGTGTTGCTAGCAAGCACTTCAGAGGGCAACTCTTTCTCCCTAACACAGGCTGAGGGAGTGATTGTCTGACAGCACCATCTCCTTCCACTGACTGTGGGAAGAAGCCCAGACAGTTAGCAGATACTTCAAATCGAGCTTTCTGATAGCTGAGGTTAGGCAAGATAAAACCTGTCTGAAGTTAAGACCAGGACTGATTTCATGCCTATCAGGTACAAGTTGCCTAAATGTGTGCATGGGTGCAGTCATGCTGCTGTGGCTGACAGGGCTGCTGTTTGTCAGCTGAGCTGTGACAGTTGGCTTGGGTATGAATTCTTAGTGTATGCCTCCCTCCACCCTCTACCCTCCCACTTCCCAGTTTATGAAATAAAGTCACATTGGCTTAAGCCATCTTCACAAACAAATCAACCAGGTGTACAGGGCAAGTGCCCACATCTTAGCAGATGAGCAAGTGCTTGTTAAGTCATGGTAATTTGCTCACTTAAGGCCATATAACCTCAGCTTGTAACAGTTCTGAGAAAAAGGCAAAGGGAATAGTTTATTTTCTCTCTCCACTAGCTGGAAAGTACAACTTTCCCAGCATCTGAACTGTGAACGTGGCCTTTTCTTTACAATGCTGTATCACAACGTCCCTTTATAGGCTGCACCTTTTACAAACATAAATACATGGTGCTTCTGGTGACCAAGTAGCATAAACTAATTTAATTATTGCTTTTAGCAGATACATAACACACTTTTTACACTAAGCACATGCAGTATTTTACAGACAGTCTTCATATTGCAAGGGAATAAATATGATTCCACATATCCTACATTCTCTCTGCTTTAAAACTTGACCTCATACCTTCCTTATCTGACCCTAAACCCATGACCCTCTGCTAAGATAAAGTGCACCCATGCTCATGTCTACAATATTATGGTGCTTAAGAGACTTCTGAAGAGACACAAAACCTGGACAAAGCTAACCTTGTAGCCAAGCTTAGTATATCCACAAGGAATGCTACTGTGGAAAGTTTCCAAAAACTGTTTCCTCTCCAGGAAAGGAAATAATGGGAGTGGGGAAAACGGCTGTCATTACTGTGACCTCCACTGCAAGATAATGCACTTCATCTGAAAGGAGAAGACAAAAGTCATCTTACACTTTAAACTTGGTACAGAGTCCTGGCTTCATGTGTCCCAGGAGGTGCATCATTGTGTCCAGTAATTCACAATTTGAACTAACTAAGAACTCACGGCCACATGCCAGCGCAGCCACATCTGTGAGAGAACAAAAAATACCACCATAAAAATCATGTTTCAAACAGAAGTTGATGCTTATTATCGTGACCACTAAAACAATAGGTCAGTTGTGAAGAATGAAGTATGGCATCTGTATAAACTTGAAGCTGTATTCATCTACATAGCAAATAACGAGGCAGAAAATGACACTGGTCAAACTCCTTCATAATTCCACTTTGGTAATTAAAATATTTATTCAGGTTGGCCAGTATCCTAATAGCAACACAGTGAATTACAAAACAAAAGATTGGATTCATCTGCAAATACTGTGAAACAAAATTTACCATTATAGGTCCCACCTGAAATAAACAAGACAGCAGATTGTTTTATAATTGCTCGATCCAATATTCCTGGCACGTTACACAACCAAAACACTCATGGTCATCTACTCAAAAGCTCTTTTCCTACCTCTCTGCAAGTACTGCATCATTTATGCACAAACCAAAAGGCAAGAACATTTCCACAGACTACCACTCCAAAGCAGACTTTCCCTTACACTCGACCCTTACTTTGCTTATGTGCAAGAGGTATCTTCCAGCAACCCAAGCTTCTGTGTACTGTGCAACTGGCTAAGCCTTCTCCAAATGAGCGAAGTGTGGTGTACACAACTAGTGTCAGAACATTGTTCCCCAGACTACCATTCAGCACAAGTTTGAGGATTTGCCACATGACACAGTTCTTCCATGCAGCCAGTTTTCCTCTCCCCTATGCACCAGGATGCCTTTTTAATCTCAGAAGGAGCAGTGGTACTATGGACATGGCACATAATTAAAGACTGTAACAACATTGTTGTAACACATGGGGCTGTGTTAAGACTGCACTGAAAACCTCTGATGTTTTCTAACTTCTGGATACTTGGCAATTCATTATCTCCTCATTATTATTCTAGTGTGATACTACTTTAAAGCTTAGCTAGGAAAATTAAACTGGCACCTTGTAAATCATTCATCTGACTGCAACCTTTTTAACATTTGAGTTCCAGCAACCCATTTCTCAAATCACAAAGACAGAAATTTGGGGAACATCAAATTTGCCAGCAAAATTTATATCAGCTTCAGTGAAGCAAGATTTCATTCCACCATCCTGATTCCTCTTCAGGCAGAATCCCAACACACACTCCCTCCCACCCCAAGCCTTAAAACATTTCCTTTGTTCAGACTTGACTTTTGCATTGCTTTTTAGTTTTTTTGTTTGGTTGTTGTTTTCAGTAAAGCAACAGGAGAGAAATTAATCCCACCTTGGTACAGTGGCATAATGCATCACATACTGTTTTTATTACAAAATCTTAAATGGCACCACAACACCTAAAACAGCACATTCAAAAAAGCTGGTCAATGCAAGATTCAGTTACTTGTATAAATACCCACTATTTCATCTATCTTGCATTATGTCGTTAATAGTGTCATCTTAACTGTTGCTTGGCTTCACAAAACTGCAGATGACATATAGACCCCATTTCTCATAGTCTTTAAAGCCAAAGGAAATCATACTAATATAGATCTCTGTGCCCCTACTTATTTCTTGACCCTAAAAAGAATTGTTTAGTATGGAAATCAGGCTTATTAACTTTTACTTCTCTTAGCACTATGGACTGCGGACAGTGAAAGTGGTTCCATCTGACAGCAATAAAATTGTTAAGCAGTTTCACAATGCTGAGGACATACCTTAAGATAGGGCTGATCTACTAGCATCATCTGCAATTCATACATCTCGAAGATGTTAGCATTCCTGATGATTCAGAAAGTAAATTGCTTGACATTTACAAGGCAAGCATACATGACTAGTAAAATGGCACTTGTTTTACACCAGATTGAAGGGATGTGTTAGGGAATTTCAGAACTGAATGGCTCCTACCCCTCTAATCCTTAACTGTGTCACAGCCAGCACAACCCGTCACAGAAGTGTCAATGACAAAATCTACTAGGAACTTTAAAAGTCACCCATGATATCAACATTGACTAAATACCTGGCTTTGAAAAGCTGTACTTATGGCAGCATGTGTAAGTCAATACAGAAATTCACAGTACCCACGTAATGCTCTTTGAGATAATATTAACTTACTTGTTACAATCCCTGCCAAAGCCAATACAAACTGATTTTCATCAGAATCCAAATCCTGCTGTTTCATGTCTTCACTTAATGACTTCACAAAGCTCTCCATGGTCTGTGCAGTGATTGTGAAAAACTTTACTGCTTTACTCTGCAATCACGGAGGAAGAAAACCAATTATACACAGTACACCAACTACAATTACTAGATGCTACAGTAAAACTGGCCAATATGCAAAATTTCTAAAGCATCCAGTCACTAAAAAAAGAACAGAAATTAGTAGGTATGCACTCAGTGACATGTTTGGGTCCCCTAATATTTGAAACCATTACCTCAGAATAATACGGGAAACTACCCAATGTTACATTTATTTGTAAAACTCTATCACTGCACATTCACCTCCTAAACCTACAATAATAGAAGTAGTAATGCTTATTTTCAAAACTAAGGATATCCCTTCACTTTGCAATAGCTGCATCAGTTGTTCCACATTTACCTGGGCTACTGCTTTTGTCAAAAGCCTATCCAGCTGAAGACCAGAGAGCAGCCTCATGTAGTGACTTGATATGAACTTCCTAAGAAAACAAGTTAAATAAAAGAAAAAAAAAAAAGGCAGAATTCCACTGGATCCTAACAGGATTCAGGATTCAAATACACCATCAAGAAGAACTGGCATACTGGAGGAAAGTGGGAAAATAATAGGATGGAGAACAACTGGTTATGTACTTCTTTAGAAAAGGAAACAGAGGTCTCTCCCTGAGTCACAAGTTGAATTAAGTCAACAATGTCACTTGAGAAAGATGATCACCACACCAGAGCATACAAGCAGGAGTACAGCCTATAATTATGCTGCACAGGCTTCTACACTCAGCTGGAAAACTGCTCCATTTGGGATATCTTGGTTGAAGAACCAGCCACCTGGTACAAAGCTCTGGGCAGGTCAAAGAGGCTGGTCAGAGGCACTAACAGAGGCAACAGAGGAGGATAGAGAGAACTGTTTCTGTTTATTAATGATTCTGACCCGTAAAATTGTAACATTGATGTAACACTATTTTGCACAAAGGATGCTGGTTTTCATAATAAAAATAGCATAGCAGAGAGCCTATAATGCTAGGTTTGCTACTGTCTTTAATAATACTGCCAATTTTTTCACAAAACAGCTTAAACTTTCAGTCATTCCTGCCAGTAACCCAATGGGACAGCCAGAGAAATGCCTGAACAGTTATTAATCTTGCAAAATTACTGAAAATTTTAATATTTTGTCAAAACTACTAGTTTCACAGTATGTGCAAAGTTACTGATAACATTTATTCTTCCACTGCTGCACATTCACCACATCAAAGATGTACACTTCCTGTGGGGGTGACTCCAGCACCGGGATGTGAAAAGCAGGATCAGGCAATACCCAGCATCTTCACAGATGATTCTGTGTTCCCAGAAAAACATGAATTAAGAAATTGTGGGGAAAGAGAATGGGGAAAAGTGCATGTGTGCACTTCTGCCTGTGCTGAATGTACTTTATTACTTATTAAGGACACCACATCTCAAAGATGGCAATTCTAACGTAAGAAGTGGCTGGAGTTCAAGAAGCAATTGGCCAGCAATGTGCACTTGCAACCCAGAAACCAACTGCATCCTGGGCTGTATCGGATGAAGCACGGCCAGGAGGTCGAGGGATGTGATTCTCCTCCTCTATTCCACTCTCGAGACCCCACCTGGAGCACTGTGTCCAGCTCTTTGGTCCCCAAAACAAGAAGGACATGGAGCTGTTGGAGCAACTCCAGAGAAGGGCCATGAAGATGACCTTAGGGCTGGAGTACCTCTCCTATGAAGACAGGCTGAGAGAGTTGGGGTTGTTCAGCCTGGAGAAGAGAAGGCTCCTGGGAGAACTTATAATGGCCTTCCAGCGCCTGAAGGGCCTACAGGAAAGTTGGGGAGGGGCTTTTTACAAGGGCATGCACAGGAAATAAGCACAATCTTCTATGTGCCAGCCTCTTGAGATGCCACTGGTGAAATAGCCATTGATTAACTAGCAGTGAAGTCTGAGGAGATGGAGCAGAGACCAATCGAGTTTATAAATAGCAAACATTACGTACTCTACAGTCTCTTACTAGCTTTACAGTATTTTCATGGGACTGAAGAATGTCTTGCCCACAGACGTCAAGGTAAGGACAGTTCTGAGAGCAGCCATTAAGGTGCTTGTTCTCAGATGGTGCCATGAGCTCTTTGGTCTCCAAGTAACTCCTGCATGAAAACATCAGTAAACATGCAAAAATGCTGCCATAAAATATAAAGTCATTTGTCATCACAGCAGACAACTGAAGTAGCAGACCACCTTGTAGGATCCAAAATTTCTCACATTGAAACAAGCCTTGATGTTGTTCTGAAACCAAACCTTCAGTTTGTATTTCCATGTAAGAGCCCTGTCCTGTTGAAGCTTTCAGCAAGACATCTAAAATAATCTTATTGGAATTAATTTACTTCTATTTGGGCACACATAGGTAGGCATTCTTGAAAACTCTCTCATATTGCTTCTCTGGATGTCTCTCCAGAAACACCAAGCATGCGCAGAAACAATAGTCATCTCCCCCCTACTACCTTGAAAACTATTTGCGCTACATTTCAAATTTGCTGCTTGAGTTTTGACTCTCCCAACCCATACAACACAAATGGTATATTGACTGAAATGACATTTGGGACTAATCTGCATGATAGATCTGTATGAAAGACCTACTTCTGTTTCTGAGCAAAGAGTGAAAAAAGCTTGAGCATTGTCACCTAAGGCGTGGAATTTTTTTCATTGATGCCACCCTCTCCACATGCTTCAATATGAGCAACAGCTTCAAAGCACTCTTGATGTGCTTATACATTTCTGTAGTTCACTGCACCTTCTCAGGGGACAGGGGAAGATGTTGCAAGGTACGACTTATCCAAAAATAACCCAAACCAAAAACCTTCTATGACAAATCTCCATCATGTTTTAATGACCTGACTCATTGCCAGTTGCAATCTGTGGTTGATGGAATGCCATACAATCCATTTACATTTTTCCATGTTGTGGAAATGTTATTGCAACTCCAGGCATGCTTCTTATCATGTGCACCATCACGAGAAAATGATGCCCAAAAATGTTGCTATGGCCTTCACCAGTTCAATGGGCTTCAATGATTGCTAGGAATAACTTTAGCAGAAGTACTTGGTATTTCAAATATGCGAAGAAACAAAGGTATTGCATCTTCATAATTGGGCTTTTTACCTTTGAACAAATGATCATGTATTGGTTTTGTTTTTAGTTTATTCTACTTAATTTTCATACTTAAGACCGTTTTCAACAAGGCTTCCACTAACTTTGCTCTCATCTTGTAAAATACAGCCATTTTCATCACTGCTAGCATTTTGTGGGCAACATACCATTCCAAAACTGTTTAACAAGTCAAGAAACAAGGGCTAGTCACTAAATATTGTCAAGTCGTATATATAAACTGTTCTGAAAATATGGAATGTAGTTTTATACTGTTTTTGTTGCTATATGGGGCTTTGTACTACCTGCCTGTGTGTCTTTTTTTTTTATTTAACTGCTTTATACAGTGTATTTAGAGACTTTTTTCCCCATAGTAACAGCTGCTGCTTGGCTCTTGAATCATCAGAATTTGTCACCAAAATTATCACTGTACAGCTTTCAATATAAGGTAGCAATTGTATCTTGGTGCATGTATTCACTCAGCTGTTCATTATGCCACTGAAAAAATCAAGCCAGAAGAAACTGTGGCATCAGACTCAGAGTTAATACAATTCCCTCTCGTGTTGGCTGTGACAAGAGTGAAAATCTTATTTTTATCAGGCTTGTTTTCTCATCCCTCCTAATTCCATCAGCTGCATTTGGCAGTGAAACTGTTAGTTGTACTATTACTACTATCTGTAACTGTTGTTGTTTTGGGTTCTTTTCAAGTTAGCTACCTGTCCACATTTAATACTGAAGATTTAATAAGATTCACCAGATGCAGAGCAGCTAGGCTCTCTAAATTTCCAAGACTCATTATAAAGTATTAAGGCAGCACAAAGATTTAAATAAGTTGAGAATGGATGGATCTGTCTTTTTTCCATGGAAGTATCACATCCAAGCTCTCTACAGGCATGGGAACTGCTGCACATGCTCAAGAATTATTTTCTTCTCCTGTTGGCTTGCAAAGATATTTACATTTTGTTAACTGTAGCCTTGCTTCCAGTGTAACTACAAGGTGGAAAACAGATCATTCTTGTTTGGTCATGTAATAATTCATTACTGCATTTATTCCCAGCCTGCTTCCTAACACTTTATAGTTCCAACATTTCTTAAATGAGAATAGATGCTTTCCCAAAGAATATACAATTTAGGGAACATTTTTGCTGTCCAATTAGGTTCTGAAATATATCCTTATACTAAAATGTGTTGCAGCACAAGGTCCTTATTTTTAAAGCCCTAGCAGCATTATCACCAATACATATTCACCTGTGATACTTACTCCTCCTAGAATGCTTTTAACAGCTTCCTCATTGTTGGATACACCCCACAACAATGTACACACTGCTGCACCCATTTCTGTGCAATACTCTGCTTGCTGCAGGAGCTGCTGCTTTGCCTCATTCAGCTGCTGGCGGAGGTCTAGTTTTTCCTGTAATAACAGAAGGAAATTTTGGTTGTGCTTCATATCAGCCAAAACAAGTTTCTAGGCTACGAGCCAGAACAAGTAACATCATGGCCATATATGCAATGGGAGGAGGGAAGAGTGTGGGGTGGCAAACATGCAGCAGATGCATACCTTCTTTCCTGAGCTATATCTTAGTAGAATACATTGTGGAAGCTGACAGTAACCAGAAGCCTGTCCACAAGGTCAGACCAAGTGATCCACCGAGACTGAATGGCACCTAAAGAAGTCTGATAGGAGAGTCTACTCCTCCTAAGTAAATAGCTACTTGTCTTTTTAAGAGAGAAGAGATTTCAGCATCAGAGATCAGCCTTTCCAGATACCTTACAAAACATACTGGAAACACCTTTAAAGAAAGGGAGGGCAGTTTGTTTTTTTCAAAACAGACTTGTGCCTTAACCAACACGATCGAGTTGCTGGTTATCTAGGATAAACACTGGTGTCTCTTCCAATATTTTCCTATTGACACATTCCTGATCAGCAGCAGCAAAGTAAAACAGAGCCCCTAGAAAAACACAGCTAAGTTTTGAAGTTTAGAGGGCATTTTACCAAGAAAGCCCAAGCACCATCATGCACCCTTTACTGAAGTGAGCTGCTCAGTGGTCCTTGCCACTGAGCATAAAGGGAGAAAAGAGGAATTCAACACAACCAGGGCACAACTTCAATTTGGCAGTACTTCTTCCAGTCACATGGGAAGTTGGCCAGGAGAGTATCATGAGATTAGGTATGATTGTAGGTGTCACTGGCTTCCTGCCAGCTGCCAAAGGGGTAGTGTAGCTGCTGCACTTCTCAGCTCAGAGCTAGTGTGGACAGTGGGATCAAGGAAGAGATACCACAGTCTGCAGTCTCTCAGGGTGGGTGGGGGCTTTCTGCTAACTCTGAGGGAGGTGGTATTAAGATAGTGCTGCAAGGAAAGATAAGGCTAATCAAGAAAAGTGAAGGTAACTCAAGTATTAAAAGAGAGAGAGAATCGCAGATTATACTATGTCAAAAGAACAGAAGAATCTTGCTCTGTCCATGTTGTGTGCACAGGATTTTCAGATTCACAGCAGAAACACCCTTCTCAGCCCAGCCTGGCCTGTGTGGTTAGTCAGGACAAAGTCTGGGATACTGAGAAAGTATCTTCTCTATGTCAATTTTGAAAAACAGTAAACAGAACTTCCAACCATGTATCCCCATCAAGGTAAGTTAAAATAAGTATCTTGTCATTTTAGGGTTCACCTCAATGTTTTGTGTTAAGGATTTGGAAAGAAAAGAACCATAAACTCATCTGAAAATTTACATAACATGACATCAACCAATAAAAAGATGCTTGTACTCTGTCATCAAGTACCCACCTAGCTTCCTGTGTCACATCTGACAACCTGATTTGCATTGCTTTATCCTGCTGCTAGCAAAACACATAAGTTGGGATCTGTAAAGTTCAAATTGAATTTATCAAGCAGATTTCTGTGCATGTTTACTCTCTGGAGTCTCTTTCACCTTACAGTTTAATATATGCAAAACACAGATATTTTGCTGCTGACCCCCTAGGCAGAAAAGTCAGGAAAAGCTTCTTATTTCTTAATACTTTGATCTTTTTTAAGCAAGTTAGCCAAAATTTACCTTTTGCATAACTCACTGCTAGACCTATCAACTTTCCTGCCACCATATGCATAAACAAAATGTCCACAGGCACCTTCCTGTCTCACTCCATATTGTCCCTGTCTTTCTTTTCTGCATGGTCCTTGTCTTAGGAAAATATATCTTTTAAGATATTTTATTTGCATTTGGGTGCCAATACTGAATAGTAAGACATAAAACTCAGTAATACCAAAGCAAGATCCCCCAACAAGGATGCAAAGCCAGCACAAGAAATGCCAGAATTTTTAATAGATCAAAAGCAACATCAGAACAAAGGTATTAAGCAAGGAAAACAAAATAGTACATGCAAGAGCCAGGAAAAAATAAGGAGCCTGCAAAAGAAAATAACCTAGCTGGAAGCAACACTCCTGAGAGCTCACATCACAAAGCAATCACTGTGCTGTGCAACACCACCATCTTCAGGAAAGAGTACAGGCACAAGAATACAGCAGTGCTTAAGTACATAAATATGAAGAGACAGACAAAGAAGATGTTAGCCAAGAATAACATGGGCACTTCAAGTTTTACTCAGGTTCAGAAAGCACGGCAATTCCATAATCAGTGATGCAACACTGCACAGAAATTTTGGAATGCAAGATGTTGATTCATGACCGCTAAGCACTGCTCAGCTAGAAAATGTGTTTATTTTATGTTTGTTTCAGTGAATCATTTCCTTTTCCTTCAGAAGATAAATAGAAAATAATTCAGGAACTATATACAAGGATGTCTATAGAAGAACAGCAACGAAATAAGAACACCACACAGTTATTAACAGGAAGAAAAATCACACGTACACATACACCACCTTCTTTTATCTCAAACAGCTAACAAATTTCAGAATCTACACAAGCACAATCCACTCAGACAAATACACCTTTGTGGCGTTTAACAGAAGCCATTTAGACAACCAGTATGTACTGTACAACAAAGATATGAAGAGCTTTAGTCAGGAACACCAATACAACTACTCTTAGTAAACTATCCATGCTTTAGGTAAAACTTTCACCCAAAAGAAATCAAAAACCTAAACCACCTGTTACTTGTTTTGCAATAATATTCATGCTAAGCATGAATAAAGGGTGAGACCCACTTCACTAATATCTAAAGCAACAACATTAAAACTTAAGAGATTTCATCCTGGATGCTTATACAACTAAAAACCCAGGTGCACAGCAAAACTAAGCAAGAACCTATTGCCAAACTGCATTAGCTGTCCCATACCTATTTTAAGGTAAGGAATATCCAGATAGACAAATATTTCATCATACTTTACATTCATACCAAACTTCATTCCAGAATGACTTGCCCATGCAGATGTGCCCTAAGACTGCATGCCTGAATTCTTCATTTGTTCCTTTTCAAAATAACTCCTGTAGATTCATCTCTCTTTATGCAATTCCAAGGCTGACAGGTGCTAACTCTAGAACCCCAATGAAGTGAGCTTCTGCTGACTACTGAGGACAGCTGTCAGCTCTGAGGAAATGAACAACAAATATTCACAACTCCCTCAAAAATTAAGCCACTGGCCTGTGTGATCCTACTTGAACCCCAACAGCTTCACAGAAGACCCACAGTCTGACAAGTCACCATCTTTGCTATTCCTTCATTGCTAAGAACCTCTCCTCTCATATTCACTAAATACAATATTGACAGAGTAAAAGGAGCCCTGTAATTGTTCTTTGACTCATAGCTGTACATGGCAACTGGATCAATAGGTGCATTGAAAAAGACTATTAAAACTAAACAAAGTTACACAGCTTACAGCAAACCAAAAGAGAAGCCAGTTTCATTCTGTACATGTGTTGCTTACATTATCGTCCGTTGCCCTTTTTTGAAATACTTTATAGTTACATCAAATTCAAGAGAACTGATTCCATGAAGGACCTTTTGATACCAGCTACCCCACAACCTTCACATATATCCCATGTTTTACTTCAATATTTTAATATAAACAAAATGGTAACGGTCGATTTTTAACTTTGCACAGATCAAAACAAACCCTGCTGAGAAGACTGCAATGCAACCCTCCACCTCACACATCTATGCAGGTATGCAAGAGTTATGTAGGGAAACAGGAGACAAACTGTCAGCTGTACCTCTATGTGTACACACTGAATACTTTTTGGTACTGTATGGTATTATATTTTGCCTAGTTAGAATATTGATCCTTTTGCTCTACAAATATCAAAGGGGGAAAAAAGCATCACTTCTGAACCTGTAGGTGAGCAATGTACTCAACACCTGACTATATGAGTAGAAAACCCAGGTTGTTTTCAGGCTGAGGATGTATTTAGTGACATGAATATGAAAACCTGATCACTATTGCTTTTGTTCTTGAAACTCAAGAATACAGATACCAATACTCCTACAGCAAATATACCTTCTTCTCTCTCATACAATCTGCCTGGGCAGTTTCCAGACGGGCTTTGAAGTGTTCACAATCCATTTTCAGCTGCTCTATTTCCTCCTCCTTTTTCTCCATGTCTGTGATAGGATAAATCAGATAAACGAAGCAGTAAGTTATGACAAACCGACTTGCACTAAAGAATCCATGAACATTAATTAGGTCCTTCAAATATTTGGTTGTGTTACACCACCTCCTTGTGGCTAAACTGCGGTATTGTACTATGCTTCATTTAACTTCTTAAAGACGCTAAATGAACATGGTATTTCCAATTTAAAATTGGGAAAGACTGAAAGAATCACATTTGGCTGCTGAGTAACTGTGTGTCGATATGACACCATTCTGGAGCTGGGCTACAGCTCCTCGGGGATTTAAAAAAAATAAAATATTCAGTTTTCTACTTCTTTGTTTTCAAGATGGTTTTCATGTCTAGTATCTGTATCAGTGAATATAGTGAAAATTTACAATGTACAACTTATTTTAATAGTAAGAACAAAATACAACATTTTAAATTAATGTTTCTAAAATATTATAAGAAATTACAAACTATTTAAACATTATGTAATTGATAAACAGATTTTACAATTCCCTTAAAAAAATAATCTCTGTTTTTATCATAAATACTTTCCAATTTAGACATTGTATTTTAGTAAATGGAAATCAAGTGAAAAGTTAATCAAGTGAAATTGTATTTCATGATCATGAGGTCTGTTTTTAAAAAATCACTGTGAAGGACATTTTTAACAGTGGCTGTGTATTGTATATTACTTTAAAAACCATGGCTCTGGATGCTTAGGATTAAAAAAATTCCTGAAAAAAAGGAAACACACTTAAGTAATTCCAAAAACTAATGCCCAAACAGCATCGGCTGTAATTTTGGTTAGCTTAATAACATGTTACACCCCACTTCAGTGCCATACCCTTGGTCACGTAAGTATAGCCAATGGCTTAACACCCTTCAAATACTTTCCCTCACAAGTGGTCAATATTTTTTGGTGTATTTACCAAAAAGCATATCAAATTCAATTGTTTAAAAATAACATAATTTTTAAAACAGTCCTTATTATTCAAAGGCTTTGGGTTAGTTTTATTTAGTAATTCTACATTATTTGGAACTAAATTCCTTTCTTTTTGACAAAACATTATCATCTCAAATACATACACATTGCTTTGATAGCAGGTATAAGAGAAGATATTCTAGCTACAACCAGCTTTTGTAAAGAGGTGGAACTATTTACACTCAGCCCTTCCATGATTCTAACCCCTCAACAGTAAGACTTTTTAACAGAAACCAAAAAAGCAAGGCAAGGGCCACTCCTAGGGAACAAGCATGTAAATAGGCATCCTCTCCAAGCACTCCAGTCTTTTCAACCTGCAATCCAAAAGAAAAGAATGAAGGGGAGAATGGATCAGTTGAGTTTTTGAGGAATAACTGGTCAGCAGTAAGAAACTTTCTTTCCTTCCATCAAGTAAATTCAGTCTCCTGGACCTACTACCATGTGGGTATTGGTTTTAAGCACTTGATGGACAGATGTCTCAAGCCAGAGTAGGATATGCTCTGCTTACCAACGGCAGACTGAAAAACCGTGTATCCTTGCCAGGTAAGTATATCCAGTGGAACTCAACTCCCAGTGAAAATCTCGCTGTAAGGAAACAAGCTCTCCAGCCTTCAAAAGAATGGATCCACCCTGAATCCAGTATCAGCACATCCAGCAACCACACAAAGGTGCCACATCATTCACTGGCAGACTTCAATGGTCCTGGAACCAAAACTGAGCCAGGCGAGGGGTACAGTATTCACTGAGTGTTAACAGAACACTCCCTTTTGAAGTCCTCCAGATAAAAGATGGGTGTGTTAACCTTCTCTAAGGTATCACAATGTTTTATGTCAAGAGAAACTAGGTCCATTCTATAAAGGGAAAGATGAGGTAATATTGGAAGTTGATGAAGAGAGATCTACTTGCAGTTGTGTCTCATTCCTGGAAGCTCCCCCTAATATGCCCACTCAGCTCTAGCAACTGTTCAGGCATTTGCTCTGAAGGGAATTCAAGGCCGTATGCACCAGTCCTGACACCTAACTGATCTCTTGACATGCAGCAACAGACATTTTGCTGACACCAAAGACCACAGCTGTGCTGCTGACTCCTGCACGCAGAGATCCTGAGCAGAACACAGGAAAGCCCAGCACATTCTCCCACTGCCTGCAAGTCCCAACCGTGGGTAAGAAAGTTCCTTCCCTCTTTAGACTAAAGTCTTGAGGCTCAGGCTGTCTCCCTACCCCAAGTGAAGAAGCAACTTTCACTGTCAACTTCGATGAGCAAGAAATATGAAATGGAATCCTTAATACAAACAAGAAATTGGACTCTGGGAAGAAGAAGCATTTGGATGTGAGAGAGACAGCAGACTCAAAAGCAGAACAAGGCAATGGGCACAAGAAGCTAAGAGGATGCCCACATTTCAGATTTTTTCAGGTGGGTTCAGTCTCATGCATGCTGTAGGTCACATCAGGAGATTTTCTGGATAGGAGATCTAGTCCCAAAGCTCTGGGAAGTGGAAAAATCAGTACCGTTGCAATGAACACCAATAACTGATGGAATTCCAATTCTATTGATCCAAATTCTAGGTATGTGTTAAATGAAATTTTTTACATTTCCCCAGTGGACCGAGTTCCACTAAATATACACATAGTAATACAAAAAGCTTCTTGCAACCATTTTTCTAAGATTCCTGGAGCCAAACATTCTTCCCAATAAGGGCAGTAAGACCCAAACTGATTTTTCTTTTTGAAATGAGTAATTACCCTGGAAAAAACCTTAGCAAAGACCTTGACACCAGCCCAAAAAGTCAGTGTTGGTTGCATTGAATGCTGCCAGGTCAGATCTCAGACACCACCAGTGGGATGCTTCTGTAGCAAACAAATATCCATTTTGACCTAAATATAGAAGTGAAACAGACAAAGATCTCAAGGCTTCTTGAAGCTATTTAAGACTGCATCACTCTCACAACTGAATGGGCCTTGCTTGACTTGTCCAGCGCTAGAGGCAAACACTTAAAAGAGCCTAAATATTCAAACAATCTCCTTTACTGCTAGTGAAATGCTCACTGTGGGGATCTGCTCAAGAGAATTTAAAGGCTGATTCAGCTCCAGGTGCTCCTCCAAAGAACCTAGAGTGCTGGCTAGCCAGCAGAACATTTGAAGGAAAGTTTTAAAATCTCCGTGTTTATGCCACAAACCTGCTGCTGGAAGGCTCTGATAGCATCTTCTTGATGCCAGGCACAAGAAGGGTAAGAAGGATCAGTGAGAGAAACCTTGAGACTGATAAAAATAGGAAAAACAATGATCTGACTAGTTGAGGGTCTTGAACACTTAATGTAAGTGGCAACAGTCCTTGATGCATTTCAATAGAGAACATTTCCAGATCCTATGACACTTCTTGTGACATGGATAATGTCTTGACTGGCAGCAGGAAAGATGGCACAGTCTACTTATCACTGTAAGGATTTGATGGCATTCTTCTTTCCAAAGAATGGATCATGGAGGCAGGTGAAAGCTCTGCCACAATACATTATTTAGTATTGGAGAAAGGTCTTGAGGTTCTATCTTAGTCTTTCTTAGCCATCTGCTGCAAATTAATTTTCAATTAATCACTTGAGATTTTAGGAGAGATACACTCCCTATAATCTGTCTCAGTGATTGTCCCTTGTCTTTTCAGACAAAAACAGCTTCTAGGAGAGTAAGTGAAATGCACTGCTACATGCATGTAAGCTACAGGCCCCAGGGATAGAGCTGACTCAGATTTGGTCCTGATGGCATGTTGGGAGTGGTGGAATTTTTTCAAAAATAATGCACAGCGAAGGACAACACAGAAAAACTGGACTTTGGGGGCACCAGTAAGAAGACCTGTATAACAGTCTTTTTTTTTTTTTTTTTAAATTAATATTTATGGCAAGAAAAGCATACAATCCAAAAAAAGATGACAAGCTAAATACATTATCTCTTCCTTTACATTTAACTTTTTCTCCACAGCTATTTCCTATGGATTTTTCCTGTGCATCTAAAGTAACATCTTGAAAAACGGAACACTTTTGCCTTTTCTCAAAGAGAAATCACTTTTTTTCCTGATACAGCTTTTCTGACTGCCTGAAATAGGTATGCTTTTATGCGCACCAAAATATTTTTTATTATTATTTTGACATGTCCAATTACTTCTAGTGCAGTTTGTAATTTTCTCCATTACAAACAAATTAACTTCCTGAAGTGGTCATTGAACGTCAGAGTTTAATCTGGAACACCTCTACAAACTCTGCAACTATTTATAGAGGTAGGACAGTTTTTCTTCATAGTTTTGGCAGAAACTGTCATAGATTGTAACACGGTACTACTCACTTGATTCAATAGCTTCCAGTTTCTGGAATGTCGCCAGGATATCCCCATTTAGTATTTTGGGTAAGAAATCCCGCAACTGCATAACCTCCGTTGTCAGCCTTTCCAAATCCCTCTTTTTTATTTCAACAAACTCCTCTTTGGTCTCAACCTACTGAAACAAACAAACAAACAAACAAGCGACCAACCAAAGACACTGTAACAGGCTTGAAGTGCTGATTTGTTGGATACTTTATCTCAGACCATAATATTCATCTGCATTACACTTTTTTTTCTTTTAAAAGTGAACTATCCAGTAATAACTAAACCTAAACATCTCTCAGACAAACTCTTTGACTGTCTTCTAGTTTTTGCCACTCTGGCCTAAAGCAAATCCTATAACCCCTCTGCATCTGTTTCTTCACCTAAAATATGTTCTGCAACAATTAAAATTCACATTTTAAAATATGAACAGCTATGCATATGCCAAGGTACTGTGCCAAGATTGTTGTAAAACTTACACTGTAACTCAGTTTTTTAATTAATTCAAATATCTGCAAGATCCTCAGCCACCTTGCTAAATTACAACAGCTCTTTTAGAAGAGAAAGCATTTTTTTTAAATCATCTTTTGTGAGCACAAGCTATTTTCAACCGAATCCCACAAAAAAGTAATTTAATGCCAAGTCAAAAATACTTACTAGCTTCCTCTTCTGCTAAGCTATTACTATATAACTTTGATTTCACGTTCCAGAAGAATGTGCATTCATTTTTAAATTATAAAGAAATCCCTGTACCATAACACTCTTAAACTCCAATTTCTTATGTATGTGTGCACACTGCTGTCTCTTAGAAAGACTGCTGTATACACACAGACATAAAGGTTTAACTTTCTTTGCCTAAAACACTAACAATCTAACGTGCTTTCACAAAGCAAAATTAAAAATATCTTAGTACTGTTTGGCAGTGCATTGACAATGATGGAGAAAAAATTAGATCATTTATGTATCACTTCTTCTTCTTCCATGGAGAAGAAAGTACTGCAGAACACAAGAGACTACCTCCTGAAGGTGCAAAACATGCCATCCTCAGAGTCTTCTTGAGTGCAGCCACACAAGACAAATGGAGGTCACTACCACTGGTACAGACAGTGCTACTCTAGCACTGCTATCCCTTCCTACAATTCTCTCTTTTTGCTTCCCTACTTCCTCAGGTTAAACATTTCTTTTGGTTTCTGCTTCCTACTCCATCTCCTTCCCAGCTCTCTTTCATATCCAGATAGCTGTAGGGACAGACCCAGTTCCACCTTTCCTGGTTCAGATCCATCGCCGCAATAAAGGTATGGAAGAAAGTTTTTACTTTCAATCTGACTCATATCCTTCAAGCTGCATTTAGAAGTGTTAACGGCAAAGTTAGTATGGCCAGGTACCACCACATGGCCTGACTGCAGAAAAATACAACTCATTTAGGTCTCAAGAAAGTATGGAATAAACACACGGCAACAGGACTCTATAGAAGACTACAATCTGTATGTTAGTGAACGGGAAGGAGAGACACTGCAGTACCGCTCAAAACCATGGAGCTCATTTGGTAAAGGTATAAAAATAATGATCAAGTCCAACCATTAACCCAGCACCGCCAAGGTGACCACTAAACCATGTCCCTAAGCTCCACACCTACACATCTCTTAAATACCTCCAGCGATGGTGCCTCCACCACTTTCCTGGGCAGCCTGTTCCAATGCCTGACAAATCCTTCAAATAACTTTTTTTGGTTTTTTTCCTAATATCCAATATAAACCTCCCCTGGCACAACTAAAAGACTGGTTCCTCTTGTCCTATCACTTGTTACTTGGGAGAAGAGACTGACGTCACACTGCTGAAGTACTGGGATTGAGGTATGAAATCACAGAATGGCTATGGCTGGAAAGGACCTGAAAGATCACCTAGACCTGCTCGGGCAGGGACGCCTCCCAGAACGTCCTCATTTATCATTCCCACTGTGATGCCTCCCAGAACGTTCTCATTTATCATTCCCACTGTAAACGCAGATCTTAGCAGTAGTACCGAAAAGACAAGGTATGTATCCTCCCAACATCTCCCTCCACTACAGCAGTGTGTTAAGAACCAACACACCCACACAACGGGTCACAGCAGCTTTCTATCCAGCCCGACGTCGAACCGTGGCAGGCGACCAGACGTAGGAACTTTCGCTCAAGCCCCCTCAGACCTCTTGCCCAACAGATTACTCAGCGAGGTACCTCAGCTGAGCACCTGCCCGACGCGACTCCCCCATCCCTGCGGGGCAGAGACCCCCACCCAGCCCTTCCTCCTCTCTCCCCCAAGCCAAGGCTCTCCCTACCCCTGCCCTACACACCCCTACCGCAGCCCCCCGCCACGGGGAGCACAATCCCTCGCCCGCAGCTCAGGAACCCCCGCAGGCCGCAGCCCCAGGCGCTCCGGCCTCGCCCCCCCCC